CCGGGCATGGTTATTGCAATCCAGCAGGTCATCAGTGTATTTGCAACACTGGATGGGTTGGCAGTGGATGTCATATACCAGATTGTCCTGGTGAACCAGACTGTAATGCAAGGGGTACATGTGACAGAAGCTATGATCCACCAACCTGTACCAATTGTGATGATGGATGGATAGGTGCTGCATGTGAATTACCATGTGTCAATGGAACAGCACAGCCAGACTTCACTTGCTCATGTCACCCATGCTATGGTGATGCAGGATTTAATCAAGAATGTAATAACCATGATAGCTGCATTTACAACAATAACAGTAACCAGACATGTGACTGTAACGTGGCATGGTGGGGTAAGTATTTCTCAAGGTACTACTTTATTTTTATGTTGCTGCATTGTGCATACAACATTATTGTGTGCTACTTTAACAAATTACTATAACCAACATTATAAATGGCTAGGTAAATAGAATTCATGTCTTTTCCTTTCCCTGAGTCAGTGTCATTCATATTTTTTTACACCCAGGGGATACATGTACTGTTCGTGGTTGTCCAGGAGTTGGTGAAAGCTGTTCAAAGCATGGTTTCTGTAATTTCAATGATCAAGAGTGCTTTTGCTATTCTGGATGGAAAGGAAATGATTGTAATACACCAGATTGTCCTGGAACACCTGATTGTAGTGATAGCAGTAATATCTAATCTATTGTTTATATCAATTGTCCATATCAACTAATTAGTTGTATATGAATTTTAAAAGCATTTGGTATCAATAGAAAATTACAAAAATATAGAAATATGGATTATTTAAACGAATGAGATGATACAACTTTGGGGGAATTTTGTAATGTTGGGTCTGCAGGTATTTTGCGATCTACTGGCGCTGGCTGCATGCCACTAATGCTATTATGAAAGAAATATGGTCACACAGCCCTTTTGTATCAAATCTGTAATACGGTTATAATGCTCTGCAGGTATGACTTGTACTTGGGACATAAAAGAAAAAAAATAGCTGTGTTATCTAATGTCCAGCAATAAAACATATGAACCTCCAATGTGTATCTGTGATGATGGCTACATGGGTGAGAAATGTCATATACCATGTATTCATGTGAAAGAGTCTGCTCCCAATAGTGGCATTTGTGTATGTGATCCCTGTTACTCTGGTATGAGCTGTGATACCCATTGTTCCAATCATGGTAGCTGCATAAATGATTCCTGTGTCTGTGAAACTGGTTATAGAGGTGACAGTTGTCATTATCTAGACTGTCCAGGTGATCCGGACTGTCCAGAACGTGGTACTTGTGTAAGACGAAGTGGAACGTCTATGAAGATGATTGTTCTGTTATGGTGTGTTCAGGTACACCACAATGTAATGGTGGAGGTTATATATTTTGTGGTGGTATCCATAGATATTCAGCGTACAGGGCTGTTAAAATGTGAAATGTTTTTAGTAGCTGGTACTGACCACCCTACTTCTATGATAGGTCATTGATTTTGGTATGTCCATGAAAGCTTAATCAGGAAATGTATTTAACCCGCACAATTGTTTCACTATCAGATAATTTAGCTAAAAAAAATACCTCAACGCAATTTTTTGAGAAACAACTTGACCAGAAACATTTTTTTACATGGCCATATTTGATTCATAGAATTATGATATCTATAACTAGAAGTTTATCAACAAATGTACCTTACTTCGCATTGTTATTTAAGTTCTATCCAGCACACCACAGTATGACACGTAAATATCAGATTTGAAACACTACAAAATTCTGACAAAATGTTCGGCTCATTGATTTGTACTTCAGATGAGCCTGCAAGTTACTGGCATATTTGAACAAATTATTACATTCAATTGATTATTGTATGAGGGGCGGGGTATACAGACGACAGATAATGAATATTTGTTGCTGTGCATGTTTCAAATATCAATCAAAGACGATAGTAGGGTAGAATGCACTGGTAATAAATGGGAGGGCAATTAGATGAGACCAGTTAGTCAGGTTGCATTGTCCAATAGACTATTTTTTCGTTCACTGAAAATTAAAAATTGAAAAACAGGACAAACAAATGTCACAGTGATAAATGTCAAAGTACTGTTTTTGTTACTTCCATGATCAATAATGTGCTGCAAACATTGGTGAAGGTATATTGTAATGAAGTAAGGTTATATTTCCTTCTGAATAATCAACATTGATCTATATCAGCATGTTCAAGTTTGTATATATTTTGGCCCATTTTTATGAGTAGACAATTGGTGATGGGTAGACACGATTGGATATAGAAAAAATAGAACAATAATACAGCGCAATACACTGACATTCAGTCATCTAGTATTGTATACTATGTTCACAACGTTTGTCATTATCGAATTAAATGAAAGAATATAACAGAATTATCCTCCCAACCCTCATCATTGGACCACCTCTCCATCCAGCCAAACGTAGAGCCGCCCTACTCATTCACATGAATCCACAAATATACACATATGTCCTGAGACAACAATTCCACTGTACTAACAAAATATTCTTTTAACAATCACTAGCCATGTAATTCAAGTAACTTGAAAGTGAATAGGTTAAGCGGTTATCACTATAAAATCCCCTGTCGGTATATTTACTGATACAGACCCTTTAAACTTTGACTCCTACTACTGACCCTGTTGTGTGTTTTTGATTTCCAAGTGGACTGTTGTGAATGGCCCATAGGCATAGACAATAGTGAAGTATCAGAGTGAAATGAAACAGGATAGATGTTGCTGAAAAAAATAAAAACGGTCGAAAATCGCATTTAAAAATGGTATTTCTATTGGAATTATCACACATTAAGCCATATTTGACCTCTTTTCCTGCAATATACCGTACTAATTCTTATATTTCTTGAAAGTATACATTTAACAGATACCTTTTCAGAAAAATTCTAAAAAATGTCAAGATTTTCCTAAAAGCGCCTTCTAGCGGATTTCACCTCACAAACTATTATTTTTTCGTGACAAGAAGATAAATTCTGAAACTAGAAGTTCTCTCCTACAAAAAAAAAGTGGTGTCATCCTTTGTCCTTTGATTTGGTAATGATTTTCGGTATGGCTCGTGGACTAATATACTTGTTTTTAATAGGACATACTATTGTATTTACTGTGTAATACAAGATGTGGAAAAACAATATGTCATGTCAGAAACATCTTATTTTGTATCAGCATCTAGATCATCAATACGTACTGCATCATACTTAAAAATTGTCTTCTTGAGTCTAATATGCTTTGATTAAAATGAATATAAATGTCATACAATCTCGCGGTCAAAATAATGTAAAAAATAACAATCGCGTACGATACGATACGGGTATTGTCCATCCGTTTTTTAAAACAAATATTTACAAAAATCTATATCGTCCTAAAAATAAATCCAGCTCAAAACTGAACAACAATAAAATATATGGTCAGCGTCTTTCACAGTGAAACAATCATCCCAAATTTTGTTCCGTATTTTTACCTCCTCTGTAATATCTACTGGTTTACAATCATAAGTTACTCTCCCAATTTCACAACGCGTGGCGCTGTTCCGCAATTAATTATAAAATTATGACTAATTTATGCATACATCAGGTGACAAAATTAACAAGTATAATTTGTGTTATTATAAAATAGTAATAATAATATGTTTATTCCATACGATAGTCCACTCGCCTAAAAGTACGATTATAGTAGTATCATAGAATATACACTGTTCTGGGGAGTACGTGCACTATTTACTGGACACAATAATTAATATACTCTGAGAAGGTGTCTGGTTTCTTAAACGCGAGTTTTCAAATTTATCTGTGTAATAACATTGGTACAACTTGTGCGCTCGATAATTATAAATTGATAAATAACGGATGACAATCGGTATCATGTGATATAATGGCATATACTAGACACGTAATCCATCCGCAATGGTATTCGATACACAAATTGACAACTTGTTTCAGTTCTAGCAAGTAGAAGGTATCTTTCCGTTTCTATTTTTGAATTATGTGCTGGCACTCGTTCGTTCTTGTCGTTTCGGGCACTTATTGATTTGTTCTTGCCAATATCCATGTCGCACGATTTTTCTTTATAATTAAAGGATTGTCGAGTCGCAACAAACTCCAAAACCATCACAAAATAATATCCATTTTCAGTTACAAGACCAAAACGGTTTTATATTGTTTGCTTGGTGAAGTTAAAATTTCAAGTTGTAGCACTCAAGAATGTAGCGATCGTAACGATGAGTAACTCATTTTGGAAATGCGCAACCAATATTTGGCAATTTTCACAAGCCGACTTTAAACTCGGTTGACTTAGCTCACCCTCTGTGTTAGCGTTATATGGAATTTTAAGGATATATTTACAACACTTTTGTAAAATTATCTTCACAGCATTTGCTTTGCCCAATCTCCATTCGTCAAGTTCATACATTACAATTTTTCTAATAAAATTTGTTTGTGCCTTGTTTTGTAAACCTTTAACATAATTTAACATAAAGTGAAAAAATATTTCTCAATATATATAAAAACAATTCTCTCCAAAATAGACATAATTATTTCACCTGATACCTCACTTATTATTATAATGAGCAAACAATTGGCACTTGGGAATGTCGTCTACATTCATGACGTCTGAAATGGGGTCAGTATATAGCTAATTATAAACTGTAGACCCATATTTTATAGTAGGCGCAAATTAGATTCGTATCAATGTTGGCATCAATGTTTCAATAACCTTCATCACCCGATGGTTGAAGTGATCAAAAATAAGATTCATACAGATAATTTACCACAGGGATCCCAGGAACTATGATCAACTGTATGCAGTTTCTATGAGGGGGGGGGTATAAATATAGGTAAGACTTTGGCAAAATTTGAAAGAGCAACTAATATTCTTCAACCTGGTATTTTTTATAGATTTTATTTTTCATTCTGTTCGTCTCAGTGTTTTTTCCAGTTTAAAAAATATGAGCTCGCTGGAGCATTCATCCCTTGGGTATTTCTTACACTAGATACCAGCCGATATCCCCGCTCCGTTCAAGGAGACTGCATATAATTGATCATAGTTCCTGAACTCCCTGTGTATTTACAAGTTCTTTGTATGCAGTCAAAGGCATAAACTGGGAATATTACAAACGTTTTATTAATATATATATATTTTTTATAAATCATTATTAATCATTCAATCAGCAATCCACTCATTTTTCATAAGTGGGCTAACTATTTATTTATTAACACACAATATTAAAAAAATTACAAATCAGATATTAGTAAAAGAAAAATAACATGTACAGTACATGCAAAGTAAAGTAACAAAAAGCATAAAGAAAAAAAAATGATAAAAATTTGTGAAGTTGCTTGGTCGCTTGATATGAAGGTTTGTGCGCACATTATTGGCGTAGACAATGTGCAGCTCTTTAGAGAATCATTTTCAACTATTTTATTTTGAATGAAAGCTGATGATCGGTATTTAAAAATCGTTATAAGTATGTTTATATTCTAAGGTACCTCTGTCTGGCTTTCTCTGTATACTACAGATACTGGTATGTTATTTGATCCGGTCGTATAAATACTGCTGGCAAGAGTAGTGTTCTAACACTAGATGGCGCACTTCGAATAATTTATGCAATGAGATTTTTTAATAATATCACCTGGTGAGTTTTTTGTAGTGTATTCTCTTTAGCACAAAGCATGTGCTGTGTTGGGATTAAAATGTTTGATCATTCATATTTTCAGGCTCGCGTGTATAAGGTACTTTGTCAGGTAGTTTTTGTTGGTGGTCACCTGACCATCTACGTGACCTTTAACGCTTGATTGAACTTACAAACTGTTCGATAAAAGATTGATATCGACATGTGACTGGGACTTGACGTGAGTTATTTTCATTGTTTTATTAATAAGCTATTAAGTAATGACAGTTCACGATAATTCAGAAAATGCTAAGTAAGATTGTTGTGTTTATCAAATTAGTCTTTAGCCCTGCGTACATTGACTGCGTGTCGGGAGATTAGTGTCATAATTAATACGGACGGGCAATCCCCCGATCACATTGTCCACGGTTACTACTTTTTTTAGTAATCGTGCATTGTCCAATAGTTCGGCCGATGAACACAGCGCTTATACGTATTTGTCTCATGATACAGGGGCTTGACGATGCAGTAATGTGAATGATTAGCATTTTTTTAATCAGCAGTTGTATCTGTCCTAAAATATTCAACTGTGGTCTAATTTGTACCACTGTGATAAAAAAGGCCCCAGAAGACGTATGTATACGCTTTACCTTTTTTTTTTTCAAATTACATTGTACGCTAATTTATTCCTTAACTATACATATCCACTAAATCATGAGGGTCGTCATACAATAATTTGAACACGGGCCCGTATGATCCACAGGGCTATGAGAGATCGATCCACTAACAAATTGTTTATTTGCATGGTCCAACTTGAGGTTAGTGAAGTACATTGTGTGCATCTACATCCCAGTTGTGAACATTACTGCCAATTAGGTGTTTGTTGCTTATGTAAAACATAGCACAATACTTGAAAGTATATTTGAAAAATATTTGTGTGTGATGAATGTTGTTTAATTAATTTCCACCATTACAATTTATTAAATTGAGAGAATAAATGTCTTGAGAAAAATTCAAACTTATTCTGGTGTAAATAACTAAATTATTCTGGTATAAATTAAATATAAAGGTATTCTTTGATATTTGATTGAATTGTGAGACGTCCTAAAATATGCTGAATTTCAACCCTCAATCAATTCCACAGTGTTTTTAAAACATCATGGCTTATCATCAAATAGTGTGATAGTAATGTAATTTAAATTTAAATATAGCAACGTGATATAAATGGCTATATTGTAGTGTATTTCTTGTGCAAGCATGTTATAATAAACTTATGAATTAGCATATTTGTGGCAGTTAATTATCGGGCATTATCTCCTGCCAAATATGCTAATTTTCCCTAGAAAGGTCTTGTATTCTCTATCAAATATACTCAATTGCTGTTTATAACCTCTAAACAATTACCATTTGTTTTGATTAATTTGACATTTGATCATGTTACTTATCAGATCAAATATAATCAAAAGTTCAATGTCAATATTTAATATTGCTGAAGACAACAACTCTTTACAACCTTTTAAATGCATAAATGTTCATTTTCAATGTATCAAAATAAGAATATACTAATACTAAAATGTGAATGAAATATACTAAAAGAAGTGGTAAAAGTGTGCTCTTACTTTTTCCAGAAACTGAACTATTTGTCTAAAAATAGTCCAAAATATATACTACTTTTTCGGTGAATGTGATTGTAATTTATTGTATCGTCGAAGCAGTAACTACATTGTCATACAGCATATATTCTTAGCTAAAACAACGTTCAAAAAAACAACAACTGTACTTTGGGCTAGTTGTATAGATGCTCCTGTATCCCATACTTGTACAACATACATGTACATGTATAAATTTGGTTATTAAGTATTGTCTCATAGTTGAGTTTGTTCTGTTTTCTCAATGTTAACTGTTTTGCCAACTCTTCAACAGCTGTTCTATAGCAAATCGAGCAGAGCTCATAGATATACAGTGGTGTGCATTATAGTAATATAGAACGTGCTGTGACATAGCGCCATGATCCCAAGAATAAATAATAATTACAGCCCTGGAAATTGTAAAGTATTACTGTAAAACACTATGAAATACACTACATATGTTATCGGTATTCACCAAATTTGGCTCAATGCATAAAATAATAGAATCCTAATTTAGATAAATAACAAGTACCAATTACTTTCAAGTAAGAATATATATATTTTTTAAATTAGCTACATCTTTAGTGAAATTACAGTTTAGCTGAAATCCATATTACTATAACTTTTATTTCTTGTTATCAGTGTATGGAGGATGGCTATTTTGCAATACGTAGCTGCACTGGCCAGTATTACACTTGGTGGATTTGGTGTTCTATGGCTTATCCGTCAGATCAAGTATAAATATAAACTTGAAAGCCTGAGAAATAAAGTGGTATGGATTACTGGGGCTAGTTCAGGAGTTGGGGAAGGTAAATACCATATTTGTTCTTACTATTAGTAGTACATGCTCTTGCATAAGATTCAAATGTGTGTTTCTATGGTCAAATTAAGTATAATTTTAATGATTCAGTGTACAGCAAATGTAATTTTTGGTTTTTATGTGCTCTATTGGAGATGCACTTTTACTAGAGTAAATTTTTTATATTACATATGTCATTCCATATCCTGTATGTAAGGTTACAAGTCATAAATTACATTTGCTGCAAGCATATACCATTACACAAACTGTGATTTTTGTAATTTTGGTTACTCAACCATCCTGGCTATCATATACAAATAGCCATTTCATTTGATTTCATGACATTTTTTTTTTTAATATTATCATTACATTTCCACATCACTTTGCATGATCAGCTATGGAGTATCCATATTATAGGAAAGTTAATGTGTTTTGTTTTAGCTTGTGCTAAGCTGTGCTATAAAGCTGGTGCTAAACTAATATTGAGTTCCAGGAGATCTTCTGAGTTGGAACGAGTCAGAAATGAGTTATGTGCCTTGAAACTGGTATGTAAACATTTCATTTTAATTTTGTAGTACAATTCATATGAAGATCAATTTTAAACCTTAGAAAATATCGTTTTCTCACCATTAACAAAAAAATTTTTTCCATATTTTTCAACAATTTGGATAAAAATTGGAACTAAACAATGATATTTTATTCATTAACTTTCTTAAAATAACTATATATATACATACTTGCATTTTTAATAGGTTTATTTTGAGTCGAGACATAAGGGAAGTATTCAAAAAGCAAACTTGAAACTAAAAATGTAAGTGTATTTTTGTTTTCGTTTGATACATTTTTTGTTGCAGGATACGACCACACATATTCCAAGAATCTTACCATTGGACTTGTCACTTGTGAATAGCCTTGAGAGGAAGGCAAATGAAGCCATCAGTTTCCATGGTAACATTGATATCTTAATTAATAATGGTGGAATTGGATTTCGTGGCATTGCAGTTGAAACCTCTCTGGAAGTTGACAAAAAATTGATGGATGTGAATTATTTTGGTGCTGTAGCTCTGACAAAAGGTACGGTGGTGATCATAAAGAATACCTGTCATCATAACTTGGCGTGTGTCTTTTTGGTGAATCACACATCTTTATATAATGTACTTGTAGTACACGTTTAAAAGATGCTAAATACAATCGTTCACCAAATATATATTCTTGTGGTTGATCGATGGTTCATAAATTGTTGTACGAATGAATTACTGAATGAACTGCGTAGTGTGGAATGTAGGTGATAGCCAATCAGAGAACAGAAGAACACATACACAGGCAGTTTAAATGATAATGTCTAATATCAAATGATAATAAATATATTTATTCCACACTAAAAGCAATCAGCCTAAATGTACACAGCTACAAATAGGTATAAATGATCAAAGTAATAAGAAATAAGAAAAAAATAAATTCACAATACAGCAATTGATAAAAGATATATTATATTAATAAATATGAATGCTTTTCAGAATGTACATGGTGCACAAACGTTGCCAAATTGCCTGAAATACATGGATGGGTGCAACTCATAAAATTAAATGAAAATGATAATAATCTTCTGATATCACAAAGGATGCATAGTCTAACATGTCTAGAAATGTTGCAGTGCCTACTGGTTTCAGTTATTAGCGCATACACACAGACAGACAGCCTGCACAGTGCAACCCCAAATGCATATAAGATATGATTTTAATTTCAAGTTCAATTTAAAACATTTGTGTTGTTTGAGCTTCAAAAATGTGTTCAACTCAGCTTTCCATTCAAGTTGTTGAAAATCGATATCTGTCCAATGTTCTTTAAAATATTGCTTTGATTTTAGTTGATCAAGACTTCATCAAAACAAAACAAAAACAGTACTTATTAAAAATCTTAAAGAGATTTTAACAGTTCCTTAAATCGTGTGTGGTATTGATTCCAGGAGAGCCATTTTTATCTTCAAGGCATGTCATGATCATTGCTCATCTAAAATTAAATTTTTTACGAAAACCCACTTTTGTCAAAATCAATAGACTGGGTTACATTGAATGATTGTAATATTTAAAGAGCGGTGGCGTTTAAATTTCATGTAAACAAACAATGTATTTTACGCACATTGTGTATGTCGCTATGAGTCCCATATCAAACAGGACGTGGCCAGATGACAACCACCACCACGTAAATTTCACAATTATTGTAATTTATATTCATGTCTGTGGTTGTGTTGCAAGGTGTACTTCCTGCTATGCTGACCAATGGTAGTGGTCATATTGTGGCTGTTAGTAGTGTCCAGGGCAAAATGGCCATACCCTTCAGAACTGCTTGTAAGTATGAAGAGCACACAAATTTGGTTTTTGCAATACTGCATGATGGGAAAATTAAATTCATTAAAATATTATAAATATTATGAGGTTACTAAGAGGATACCTCAAAGTATGCACAAAAACAGTACAGCGACAGTATCGACGGAACCGCAGCGAAGGTCAATGCAACAGTTTACTGCCTGAGTGCATACTTTGAGGTATCCTCGTAATAACATTATTATTATACATCTTTTCCTTCCAAGGATACATCATGGAATGCCGAAATCAAAAATGTTTAGAACAGAATCAGTGAACTTTTTTGTGTGGAGTCTGGTCAAACCCTGGTGGCAGCCATGTTAGTTTTTTATTATTAGAGGACGCTTATGCACGTAATCACTCCATATTTGGAATTCGCATTTTCTAATATGGTAAGATGAAAATACCCCGTAAAATACCATGAAATTATGGCACGCTGTAATTTATGACTTTATGGTGACAGATGTATAATAATAAATGTAATTCATTAAAATATTATTAATATCAGAATCTCACTAATCTAATATTATTATCATATTCAAACTTAAGTGAATTTCATGTAGGCATGTATGTTTTTTATATAATTGTTTTGTAAATTTCAATGAAAGACAAGTACCTGGGGAAGTTATAAATTTTTTATAAATATAAATTTTTATAAATCAAAATGAGTGGTAGAAATCAAATTGACCAATCTAGAAATGGTATGGCCACATCATCAGAATAATTGAACTGTTGCAGTTGCAATGTTACTTAAAGGCTTGCACACACACTATGGGCGTATACAGTGTGGAACTCTTGGGCCAGTCATTAAATATTTGAATGAAAGTTGATGATCATTATTCGCAAATAAGGTAAAGCTTTCTGTCTTTTACTGTAAATCAGCCAATGTTTGAATGAAACCCCACTTGTGTGTAATGGGTAATACCAAATATATATTCAAAAAAAGTGAATTCTTTGGGTTTGAATGAAATATAAGGGTCATTAATATTTTATAAATTTTCGTGACAAAAATATTCATGCCTTCATGAAATTCATTGTATCAACAATATAGAACGTCATTCAGCCCATGTCATGAAGTAATATTTTCTTGGTATGAAGAAATATTAGCAAAACCAGTGCAATGGAAATCTAGACACAAAGAAAATTTTACCATTTTTCTTGACTATTTGGTCCCTTGTTTTAAAAAAAAATATTCGATGACCCCAATTTATTTTCCATACCGTTATGAACTTTCAAATGAAATAAATCATTTAAAATAATGAATTCATATATCTTTTATTTGGAGACAATGTTTTTTAATTTCTTATGTAAATATATGTAATATTGTTTTCCACTGAATAATAATTAGGATTTTAAACAAGTCAAATTAGTGAGATACAAAGTTAGTTGATGAAGAGGAATTAGTGAAAACAATATTTATAGAAGTTGAAAGGGTTTTGTAATAATGTTAATTACTGTAAAAGCTGTATCCAGTCCATAATGGTTTATCATATACTAGTACCTTATAGGTGTAATTACAATTTTACCACACTGTGACCTCAAACACACAACGTAATTTAGAATGGCATATTTTTTTTTTGATTGATGAAAGTCTGGCATGCTGGGCTGAGCGTGATTCAGGAAATTATTGCCCTGTTGTGAGGGCACACTTCCCACAGCGTTAACAACCGGGCAATACAAGGTGTATGATAATATTCTTTATGGACTGGATATGACTTTTGCGACCCAAGGTCATGTGGCGAGAGTGTCCAAGCATGTGAGGACGTGTAAGCCGTACGACCAAAGGTGTGTTGGGCCAGACGTGATACAGGAAATTATTGCCCTGATGTGAGGGTGCACTTCCCAGTGTTAACAAGGCCGGGGATTATAATTACAGAACATTGCATGCTAATTGTCAATGGTCTGAACTTTTACTGATGGCATTCGCTGTATCATTTAATCCTTTTTGCTGTTAAGAACTTTCATGATTTGATGATATTGCTTTCGTGAAAACAAAATTTCACCACAGTCACTGAGATTCCATGTTGTAGGACTGCAGAGAAATTGTCACTGTTACAACATATGTGATTTTCACTGACTCATGAAATTCATAAAAATTGTTTCTCTCTAAATTAAATTAAATTGAAGTAATATTATTATAATAATAAAACAATTATTCTAAGCATAAATCCTTCCTAAAACTTGTACACTACATTATTACTAATGCAGTGTAACTTGTTTCCTCAGATACAGCATCCATGTATAGCCATACTTACTAATACAGTATAACTTATTTTTTCAGATACAGCGTCTAAACACGCCATGCAGGCATTCTTTGATAGTTTACGTTCTGAATTAGCTGATAAAAATATCAATGTATCAGTAATCAGTCCAAGTTATATTAAAACCAATCTGTCTCTGAATGCTGTCAACCCTGATGGTTCTACATATGGAGGTAAGGGCACCATCATTTTCTTTGCTATATATTTGAGGCAACATTTTAAACATTTTTATGTTTTATATAATTTGTATGTTATATATAGACTAAATTTAATAATTTCCCCATTGACTGCAGATTTTTGATAATAATTATTTTTAGGTTTATTTTTGTTGGAAATGATAAAAGGTTGACTTGATAAAAGGTTAGCCCCCCCCCCAAAGGTTTTGCTTCTCCTCTCAGGAAAAATTTTAAAATAATGCAGTTTTAGTTTTAGTTTTTTAATATGTGCATTAAAGGTTGATTTGGATTGATAAATACAAACATTTCCTATACTTGTATATGACACACTTTGTTGACAAGCAAAATTGTATAACAAACCACCTGTGATGCCAGACAAGAAGCAAACCTTTTTTTGGTCATACAATGTTTTATGGATGTCAGTTTTTGTCAATTTGTTAACCATGTAATTATAAAACAAACAAGCAAATAAACAAAAAATTAAATTTGTCTAGAATTAAAATCATTGTATTAGTTTTTGGTTAACTGTCAATCTGTTTATGGTCAAATTGGTGATACTTTTAACATCAAAACAAAGCTTGCTATTCTCATTACATTTTGTTTCTTAATCGAGTACATTTTTTTAATTCATTGTCTTCATTCTTGTAGAATGGCATATCAAATATACGTAATATTTTTACTTTTGTGTAGCTTTCTAACTTATATCAATTTGTTTTTTTCAGTCATGGATAAGACGATAGAGACTGGAATGTCACCTGAATATGTTGCTGACAATATCATGAAAGCTATTGTCACAAAAACCAATGACGTTGTACTTGGACCATTCACTCACAAAGCAGCAATATATTTACGGACATTACTACCTACAGTGTTTGACATGATAATGGCATCCAGGGCTAAGCAAGGACTAGCAGCTGAAAATTGAAGCATTGCTATAAAACTTCATCTGTAATTATTGGATGAACTGTATAAACATTGATGTGATTGAAGTTTTATTAGAATTAGTTTTTACCTGAATTTGTAGTATTTTGTTTCTAGTTTTTATTACCTGAATAATGTATTCATCTAAATTGTGTGTTATAATACAAGACAGATTAAAAATTACTTACTTTGATGTCACATACTGTCAAAAGTTTTTTATATCATCACTAGCTAATTTACTGACACTATTTGGACATAGTTTGATACTGTTTAACAAATATTGGTTTAATTTGGGAATTCTAGCCCTTACCAATGGTTCATTCCATGATTGCTAGTCAATGTCAGGCATCCTGGGAAGCACCTTTGCTTGTTATTTATTTTATTAGTTAAAGGGCGGTAGTTTTTGCGCCGCGTCCTGTTCGATTATGGGACTCATAGCGACGTATACAACGCTTGAAAATCAAACACGCGCTGCGCGACGACCACCGCGCTTTAAACTAGCAAGTTCAAACTAATCTTTAATAAGTGTTCTTTTGTTAGGGGGTCACATGATCAATGATTTGTCGAGAAAAAAAAAATGACCACTTAATTTAATATTTACCAACAATTTTTATACAACAAGTAAGTAGTTTTATCTAAAATGACAAATCTTACAGAGTAACACATACTCCATACCAAACAATGGGTAAATTATAAATTTAAGGTTGTATGACAGTGTTGCCTATTTCAGTAGAAAAAAAATCAGATTTTTTTTATGTATACACAATGTAGTTTCATTTAATGCTGTTGTTTACAAACAATTTATGGTCACCAAATTACTTCATGCACAAAACACAAGTTGAACATCTATGAAAATGGGGATTTTTGAACCATTGATTCCTACAATAAAAAGTTCTCCCCATAATACAATTTGTTGTTACACACGGTGAAACAAATTATATGTAGTGATAAGATTGCTATTTGTCAGAACATTTTGATTATTTATTTTTTATGAAACTAGTTTGCTTTAACATACCTTTTCTATGCATCTTTTTTCCAAACAAATATTTAGTCTGGAGAAAATATCGGAAAAGAATATGATGTATCAAAATTAATAAATATGTGACACTTAAAAACAATAAATTGTAATAAATTTTTCTGTTTAACATCTGTGAATGTTTTTTGCAGATTTTTAAGACGTGTGGCCAACAATTTGACATAAATGCCAGATTTGAACTGCAACAAGATAATACATCCAGTTTTACCAAAAACTACAGTAGCCCTGATTAAATGAAATTGTTAACAACACTAACACTAGGCAAGGCAAAGCAATTGGTCCATGGGTGGTAACCCAAGTATTAAAATCTTATTGCAATGGTTTCTCATCTGCATGTGTTTTGTGATGAGTCACCAGCTGGAGATGATCTGAAAACTGTTTATGACAAAGTGTGCACTTAAATGGTTTTTGAGTTGTATGTATCCTCATATGGCAAAGCAACTGACTTTCCATTAAACAGACTTTAGGACAAAACTTGCATCGATGAATCGCTTGCAAACGTTCACGTTCATGTGATTTCAGATGCTGCCTAAATGTGTGTTTGTTTGCTAAATAGTCGCTACAATATTTACATTTGAAAAAATATTGTTCTGGTGTTGAGTTGACTCTATGCATTCTCTTTTGATGTGATAACTGTTTTCCGCTGTAGTTGTATTGGTGCTGGTTCGGTCTGATCATCCCAGATGTCATTTTCACACCATGGGTACTTTGATGTGTGGAAACACTGATGCTTTCATCACAATATGATTTGTCAAGTCCAACACATGTATGACTACTCAATCCTGCTTGCGATGTAAACAGCATAGCACACAGCTGACACTGGTACTGTTTTTTTTCACACTCTGCATTATCCAGTTGATGTCTCTGTGTAGAAATCCCACCTGCGTTGTCACCCACCTCCAATGTAAATCCACTTTCCTGACTCATATTTGATGCTGAGCTGCTTTCAGAACGAATGGTTGTTTCATTGGCCATCTTCCCAGTTTCCTTTTTCTCATGACACTAAAACATAAAATATATATCAATCAAAGAAGATTATATAGTGCTATAAATATGAAGTATTGTCTACCTAAACCTAGTAGAAACGCGTTGCCATACCATGACTGCTTCTACAATTTTTATCTTTAAATAAGTTTCTTTAATCATAGACCTTAGGAAACGTAGGTCTTAGGTCTATGCTTTAACTTCCTGTTTCCTGTTGAGCTATCAATCTATCGCAGTATTTCTTTACTCTGCCAAATAGATATTAGGGCGCGTACCTCTTCGTCAAGCCAGAAATTGCATGATCCAAATTACAAACAATATTGTCTCTGCCATAATTGGAATGAGAGGTTACTTGAAGAAGATGATTGGGGGCATGATTTCAGCCCCCATAGTTGGACCCCAATGCGTATACATGCCACGCCGGAGCTCAACCCTATCAGAGTTCAACCCAGAGGGTTTAATGGAGCCAAAATTGGCTTGAGCCAAACGCATATACATGACCATTTTTGATGGATCGAGCCATAGGGTTCGGATAAATGCTGTTGTGTGAACGTATTTAATAGTTTTGTCATTATGGAATGCCTATGTAGCTCAGGTCAATGTTCTATGGAAGCAGGCCTGACTGGACTACTATACACATTGACCAATCTACACAGGTTTCTGTAAAGATAGCCACACCTTCAATAAACAATCGCCGGGCGACTGACCCGAGCCTTGTATCTTTCCTTGACTCACTGTAGCAGAAGATCGAGTAAAAAACAACATGGCGTCATCATAGCTGATGATGACTATAAAATGAGTTGATCATGGACTATCAACTATTGCTACAAACACTATCACCATGATGAACACATAATTTCCACCAACAATTATTGGCATGTCGTTTCATTTGAGTGAAATCTCGTGTTTTTCGTGTTACAAAGGTGTAATTATGAACAAATCTCATTGTGTTGCTACCTAAATCTTCACAAGCTACATCTAACGAATCTTTGAATAAATTATTTGAATTTACGATAATTTTGTATGTAGAGGCTTACCTGACAACTGTTGCACCGCAGTGTAGCATGTGCATAGCACTAAAACAATAATATTTATAGGATACAACATAAGAAACACCAACGCAATGACCCTCGCGCTGACCTAGGATGACGCCCTCATCGGCAATAGGAAGGAACATCGCCCGCTGGCGCACTTTTATTTCCAATATTGGAAATCAAATATTATATTATGTTTCATATTCTGGTAACGTTACATCGTAAAGGAGTGTTAGCTGGATTTCAATCGTGTTATAATCCTAATCTCCATTGAATGAGTTATAAGTAGAAATTCTCTTTTTTGTTCTTTTTTTCAAAATTGAGACGCGAGCTGTGTTTTTTTTATATTTTTGTCAACAAAAAATGTGCTTTCATATGCGCCTTAACGCCGTAACTATCATATTTTAGTCAGAAACAAAGAACATAACACAGATATATTAGATTAGGCTGACTAGATCTGAAAAAATGTTTTAAATACTTTTTCTTTCGGAATTATGTATCTAAAGAAGTTTGATGCAGCAATTAAACCAGTCCTTCTGCACTGCCCAGAAACTTGGCCAAGTGACATCGTTAGGGTAGGGACTCACGTTCGTGGCTAATTTTAAGTTTTTTTTTATTAATTTTACTAATCTATATTAAATTATCCAAACAGTGTAAGCTAAAGAGTAAAATTGCGTATACAAGTTGGAGAAATATGATTAAAAAAACACACATGATGACTTTGTTTTATAGTTTGCGATTCAACTTAGCGGTTCGCGGATTTCTACAGATTACGATAAGCAATATTTTGGAGACGCTGCATTTGGTTTGGCCACAGTCCCATTGTGCCCATGATAAAGCACAGTCCCTCTATGTGGGTAAAAGAAGTTGATTATGTGTCGCATCGGATAGAAGTCGTATTGTACGAACTAGCTCACACGATGTAGTGGCCCAAGTTGAACCACGCTGACTCTCGTGACGTAAAATCACCTTTTCGGCGCGATATCTAAAACATAAAATCTTCATGCAGTTTACGTATTACTACAATTGAGAATACCAGAATTCGCAGCGTTTGGCAACTACAGTATTGGATAGTATCAGTTTTATGTGTAACGATGAAGCTACAATGACTACAAAGGCACAAACCATAAAAATAATCTGAGAACGTACAGAAAATTAATAACAGACGGATTTTTCAATAAAGTAATACTTGCAAATAATAATAAAAACCCAATATCGCTCTGGATGACCAAACTGAGGATAAACGCACATCGCATGTACCAATCACCGATAGAAAATGTTCAGTTTGTGAAATTAAAAAAATTGACAATGAGTAACACTTTTTACTGTCATGTAAGTAAATACGCTGAGAAGTTCATTATTCATGACAACAAAAACAGTTATTAATTAATATTTTAAACAATAAAGATGAAAACATTATAAATGATGTGGCGAAAAACATTTATAAATTCAATTAATAGTGAAATATATATAAACCAGTAGCTTAGAAATTTGAGCGCCTTGTTTTAATTTTCCTGTAAATGTTAGGTATTTTTTATGTTTTCAGAATTTATTACTTTTATTGTACTTCTCACCAAAACCTAAAATATGTGGTACGACAGCAATAAAGATTCTATTCTATTCACATTTGAAATCATTGTTGAATAGTTCAACATAAATTTATCAAGTATCAAATTTGGTGCCTGGCAGGTTCCTATAGTGTTTACATTTCATAATTCAAAATATTGTGGGGGGGGGGCTTTTATTTACAACTAGACAAAAGCGGTGGGTAAATCAACTTGTCAACCAAATTACATGGAAATACAAGTCTTGCTTGCTATTTTTTTTCTCTCGAAAAATGCCTAATACCATCATTGTAAAGTGTCCATGCCCAAAGTCCGATGTCATTAGGTAATTTGCGCATCATTACCGTAATTAGTTGAACTTCATCGATTTATATAGATTGAACCATGCCATAGTGGTTAAGATTTGAAAGATTTTTATAAAACAAATGGAACGACAGATTGATTTAATGCTACATTCGGGTGAAACTCGCAGTGTTAAAAAAAGCAGTTCACAACCCCTGTTGAATCATGGTCATCAACCCATACCTGCAATGCATCCTGGGTAAATACAATTTTTATCTTACCTGGTCTTTCTGAATTGCTCGTCTTAAGAGATACTTTATTAGAAATCAGGTCTAACCTGGTTTTAATAGAAATAATAATAGAATCAGGTCAAACCTGGTTTTAATATGATCTGAAATTTGCCCTGCAAGTCTCTTCGTGTTCATTTCGGATGTAGGAAGTATCCAGTTTACATGGAGAAATCGACGGGCAGCGCCTCTTTTTCAGATCCCAACAAGGTTGGCACACTTCATTTAGAAGCCGAGCTGCGATTAGTAGCACAGTACTATCGTGCGCCCTCTTGTGAATATTACAGCGATTTAGGTGGTTATGAATGTTTTTTTGTTTTTTTTCAAATGATAAATCGTAAATGTGAGGCAGCGTAGAACTAGCACAGAAAGACATTGTTGAAAGTGTTATTTTAACGAGGCTTCAATAAATCCCGTATGGGTTTTATTTCGGGAACCAATCACATTCGACTTTTCAATGGTGTTTTGCATTCATTGCAGCATCCCATGTGAGATTACACAATATGGTTATCACATTCTTACCAGCTAATTTAATGCGTGTAAATACGAGAGAATTTACTCTATTCTGTGTTTCCCACGTTACGATCTATTTTATCAGAATTAAGACATCGTCGAATTGGTCAAATTCACTTCTCTTCACTTCAATGTATTGTGTAGTCTCATTCTCTTTGAAAGAAAGGTTCATAATATATGATTAAAATAGTAATGTAATAAAACAAAGAAAGATGTACAGCCTTGCAGGGAGTATTTATTTATTTATTCCAATACTCTCTGAGAACAATCAACAAACAATCTTCCAATGAAATTACTTCACGGTCCACAAATACGACACAATAAAAACAACGTTGCTTGAAAACGGGAGAGGTTCTCAGTTAGTATTACTACAGGGGAAAAGTTTCTAAAATGGTGACATGGTCGAATGAATTACGTTGTCACATGATGGACGCCGTTTGTATAGAACACATTCTGCTGTACAATTCTTGTCATTTTCACTCAGTGTATAAACACAGTCCAACCGATAAGTGAATCGTAAAGTAATCCTAATTGTGCAAGGCCTCGTATCAAACTGATTTTTTAAACCAAACTAGCAAATTGTTGCTGGTCAAGAAACTGAAATTCTTCAGATTAAATTTGCATACTTCTTGAACATCAGATAAATTACACCAAGTTTATTTGACAACCATGTCGATAGATTGAAACTTTCTTGCCATTCCAGTCCTGTTTACCTCACCTAATACACAATATCAAGACAACACACAAACACATACCCGCCTTTCAAATGATATCCTAGTCAACACAGAACCACACCGCCATTTTTCAAATATTATTCGGACAACACACCTAAAACAAAATACACATTTTTTTGGACGAAACAAAGAATTTCGAATTACAAGAAGTTTTATTTAATAAATGCTAAATATTAATAAAACAATTTAATGGACGGTTTTTATATCAACGTAATTATGCAGAGTCATAAGTGTTCTGTATTTAGAAAACTGTACATAATGTAATTTGAATATATATGATTGTACTTGACCATTGTTGCGATGTTATGCAGCAGTATTAACAATAGTGCTCACCGCGAAGTGCTGAACATCAAACTTCTAAATTACACACTTAACATTAATGTAAATAGAGAAAAGAACTGGATCATACCACATATCACTCATTATTGTGTAATACTATGGTTGTTCATATCAAATCTATATGTTAAATAATTGCATACCCATTACAACGATCTCTCTAAATAGCAATATATATCACATCTATTACAAATATATATACAATGAAATGGATGGAAGATGTGTGGTAAATTGCACTCCAAATTTATGGTCCTGACTATATACAACAAGTAATAATCCCACACGAATAATATTACCCAATTGACAAATTGGACAGCCCTTTCAAAGACCATGACAAATAGAAAATCTGGTATTGGTCAAGAGCATGAATCTGATTAAAATACATATATAACAGCATATACTGTATATTGTCTTCCATTTATATCATATACTTAATTACACAGTAAGGACAGTGAACGGACACACATGTTGGCAAATTAAATGTCATTAATATCATTCTTGTCACCTAATTTGATTTGGATGTAGTTAATGTTCTAACGAACTTAATGTGTTTTTACTGACTGATGATTCTAAACATCTAAGTTTCACTCTCATTATTGCGCATCAATGGTGGCAATTTCACCCCAAAGGTTTTATTTCTGGGAGTATCTGACCAGGCAACATGTGCTGTACGACCTTGTGGGGGACTCTGAGGTCTACTAGTAGCTCCAGTAGTAGCTGCATTAAGAGGAAGATGAGCAGCCTCTGTTGATCTACTGGTGGCCACACTCTGTGGTCTATTGCTATCCAGCTTTCTTCTAGGTCTACTGTGAGCTTCACTCTTAGGTCTTCTGCGCTTTCTTCTACGTTTACCAACAATTGCATCCTGGTTTTTGTTCAAGAGTTTATTCCTCATTTTACTGGAAGCATCTCCTTTACGGGTACGCTTAGGTTTCATAGGCTCTGGTGTACTACTTTCTTCATTCTGTACACTTGTTAATGGTGTTACACGACCACTATGCAGTCTTCCACTACTAGGTCGGCTTGTAGATTCAGTGTATGTTGATTCATCAGTGCCACTACTACTACTACTACTTGTGTAAGCAATAGGTAGATGCATGTCAAGGTTATCCTCTTCAAATGAATCTCCAGAAAAGTCATCCACATCAGGGGCAGGTCGTAATGTTTGCATTGGTATTTCTTCATTCATAAAATCATTCATTCCTTCACTGACACCCTGGAAACCGGAGGAAGTTTCATTGTAAACACTATTAAAGAAGGCATTAGGTATGTTTGGATTCTCGGGTATATCTGGCTTCTCATCACTACGATCTTGGTCTGTATTTGCATTTGAAACACCATTATCAGCTCTTCCTACCGTCCATGCTTCAATTAAATTAAAATCGTTTCTAGCTGATTCTGCTTGTGGAAAATTTGTGAGCTGTACATCTTCACATGAGCCCATTGCAAATCGTATTTCTTGAGTGGACTGAGGTTCCATTAAGGCAACGTGGCTACAATCATATTCACCAGTACGCCTCTTTTTCTTTTTCTTACACAATACACATATCACACAGCACATGCAGCATGATACCAGGAGTACAATAATCAAACAAACAATCAATATTATAATCCAGACGGGGAATGATTCTTCATCTTCAATTATCTCTTGACAGAATTCATAAAACCCACAGAAGCTCTCCTCTGGTAGCTGCAATAATCTCTGACAAAGTAATGCATACATATGTACAGAAACATTTCCTTGCGCCACATGGTTACTGGCAGCAATATCAAGAAGACATGATTCATAATAAAATATATAAGAACTGATGATCTCACTACAGTACTCATTTAGAGTACCTTCAAAATACATCTCGTGACAAAATGTTTCAGCTTCTTCTTTAAGTTCAGGGGATGAGAATATTGGAAAGTTGCTCCCATCAGCTGTGATTGGTATGTCTGTGGATATCCATTCTGGTGGCGAATCTTTTGGTTCTAAGTTCCCAAGTGTTATACTTGAACGGTTTATTTTATCACCTACAGAATATCCATCAATAGGAAATACTTCAACAGATGTATTGAGTCCATAACCCTCTTCCAATGGCATGCGGATCAGCAACCCAGGCTTGTAGTATTCACTGTATTTCTCTCTTTCATTATCAAGATCATTAATGTTTTTACAGTATCCCCAGAATCGTATCATATCAATATCCCCATTACAGTCTTCAGCCGATTCAACACGCCCTTGATATACTAACTGCCCTACATGCAACTCCCCTTGTATGTTAAAGAGTTTAGCTAGGAATATATTGTTGACAACATACACTAGCGTAAGCTTGCTCATTCTCGAGTATAGGTAAATGGCTAATCGACCATCATAGCTCCTCCAAGTAACAACAACATGATACCATTGCTCCACAATTAGAGTTAAGTCAGTTGTAATTACTGCACCATCCATGACAATTGTTAAGTCACCACCAGATAATTTTACTACAAAGACGTTACCCGGCGTGTCAAAGCTGATCATTGTTTGGATGGACTGATAGTTATCACCATGTAGTCGAACCCAGAACTCTAAAGTAAATGCATCTAATCCCAGAATTGTGAGGTCACTTACAGTAACACGGCTGTGTAGAAAGCGAAGTATATAACCTGTGATTACATCTCCCTCATATGCCCATATACTTTGTAGCTGGCGTTCTGATAAATCCACATGGGACAAGTTGGAAAACGTAACATCCATGTATGACTGAGACAATACATTTTCCAGGAAGTAGGTATCATTTACTGTTGATAGTGTACCATTCCTCTGTAATCCTAAGTTCAAGTCATTGAGCCAATTGTTGTCCCATGATCCTATCATTGTATGTTTACTTTGAATATTAACGATATTCTCAGACTCGATCACACAGTTCAATACATTTGAGTACATAACAACCACAATGTTTACATCATCAGATGTAGTAATGTTGACAACATTGTCTCTAATTGTCACCGAGAATGTGCCACTCGATACTCTGTTAGAAAAACTGTCTTGAATTTCCACCCATTCTCCAACATTGATTTTGTACAATGTGATCACATTGGTAAATTTAATGTCCACAACAACTGCTATACCAACATTGTCATTCATAACTGCTACTTCAACTATCTTATTGCAGGCAACTTTTCCACTACACTGAAGTAACAAAGCTTGAATTGTTGTTGCTGGAGTTTGTAACAACTGGTAAATCCCAGGGGTATGCATATGAAAGCTAGGTCCATCCATGGTGGTGAAGTGAATGTCCCCAAAAATTATAGCAATACCATATGATTCAGTTGTTGTCATATAGCTCACCAAACAGTCTGTTCCTGCCCATCCAGGGTCACATTCTGAGCATGAATATTCTGGTTCATCGTTATTATTCAGCCAATGGGAAGGACATTTACAAAGACCATTGGTGACATTGCAGTTACCATGTCCATAACATGGATTAATGATTCCCCCTGGACATGGACTGTCACAAGCAGCCCCCCAATATGCATGCCTACAAACACATGATTCATGGTTGTTATGGTCTCTTTCCCCGAACACACATTTGACATTACAACCTGCACCAATCCAATATGGAAAGTCATGTCGACTTGGAAACTCATTACACAGTTGCTTAGAGGGCCAATTTGTTAGATCAGTGTCAAGACCGAGTTGATGGTAGCAGAAATCGGATAATGCCACCACTTGCAACATGGCTGCATCAATATGTCTGTAGTGTAAAATGTCATACAAGCACTGAATGTAGTAGGACTCTAACACAGCAATACCAATGGGCAAACATGTGGTAAACAGCTGACCAGTCAGTATCAATTCGTTGCATTTCTGTTCTGCCAACACCTTCAGCTGTAAATCTACAAACAGTGGCAATTCCAATGGTGAATCAATTGATGTTGTTGTATTCGCATCGGACACACGCCATGTTGGTCCATTCCATTCAGGAATTACCAAATCGTTTCCACTGATGATATCCATTATCGACTCTCCATCCCCTTCATTCATTTTCCACAAGTGAACTAAATCCGGCCAATTGTCACCAATATTTGCCATCCAGGAGTCAGTGATGATACTTGGATTTGGTTCTCTATCCCATATTCTGACTTCATCAATATCACCATTGAACGCAACAATAGGCACTAATGGTTCTGTGGCGTCATTATGAGAATACCACTGGCCAATTGTTAGGTTCCCTTCATACGAGAAAGTCAATTGATTCAGTCTGATTGCTTCAACTCGACCATTGCCAAATCTGTCAAATATGTAGAGTTCTAGTAATCCAATTTGTTTTCGCCATTGTATGCTGATTTGGTTCCAGTACCCAACTTCAATGGTCAGATCAGTAGAAAATACTTCACCTGCATCTTGGACATGAAGTTTACTTCGAAGAACAAATAGTGCAAACACTTTGATGGATGAGAAGGAAAGAATAGTCCCATCAGTAGCTTGAATTCTGACTAAAAGTTCTAATGTGAATCTGTCCAATGGAAGCAGTAATGGTGACTTGCTGATCACTAAGCTATCTGTAAAACAAAGTGTATATCCTGCTCCTTTTAATGGTACCAAGTTGGAATAGCTTTCAAACTCGGTGTAGACGACATCATCTCTTCTATATAGTTGAGCGTAGGAGTCAATCATACTTTGAGTGATAGAACAGTCATCGGTTTCATTCATATGTTGTGCACTACAATTTTGCAACTGGTCTAATACATCACAATTTATTGTCAAACCAAGGTAATTTGGATCATCACATACACTTTCCGGGATACTGAAGACGAGTTCCAGATACTGATAATTAGCAGTCACATACAGTGTTAAATCAAGAGTTATTATTGTGATACGGAAACGATGAATCCCAATTCTAGTTATAAGAAAATCTGGACTTATTTGAGTTTCGTGATCCAGAATAATTAGTTTTTTATTCCTCCACAAGAATGGTTCTAAATCTGTTTTTGAATACAATGCTGCCCTCATAACCAGCTGCTGTCCACCATAGTTAATGATCAGGACATCAAACGAGCTGGCATAGTTTCTATTGTTCACACGCAAGGAGTATCTTACATCAATGCTGAGACTGTGATGAACATTACTAATCAGTCTGTACCACCCTGGTGTTGAAATATAGAAGGAAACACTGCCAATTGTTGTGACTTTACCATGGAGAGCAACACTAGCATATCGATGAATACTTGATGCTATTTGGCCGATTATAACACTACATTCTCTGCCACTCCAACCTGAACTGCAACTCCCACATTCATGGTCACCATTCCAGTTCAGCCAGCATGAACATTCCCCAGATGCCTGACACTGTCCATGTTCATAACATGGTGTTGACTGACCACCTGGGCACACGTCTGAACAGTCTTCACCCCAGAAACCATGTGTGCAATCACATTTATAATTGTTAGCTGGAAATCCATGTGTACATGTCGAGCAAAATTGTATAAACCAAATTGGCGGACTAAACTGCAGCAATGTATGACATATGGTATACAGTGGCGAATATTCTAAGCGATTGTTCAGTTGACAGAAATCACTGAATGTTAACAGGACATCAAATGTAGTATTCAACTGATTAGTTGTTGACACAATGCTCAAACAAGTCATGAAGTAAAACTCAACCATAGATTTTGAAATATTAGCACAGTGTGTAGCAATACCACCACTGCCATTTATATAGCTGCATATTGTCTCAGCAGACTCCAGCAAAGATGTGTTAACATTGTCATTTCTAAAGGGTTCACTAATTTCAAGCGCTATATGTGCTGTTGAGGGCAGCCAGGTTGGTCGTTTCCACAACCCAGGTGGTAAGAAAATATCATTGTCATCCAGTGTATCAGGTACAACAGTACCTTCTCCAGAATTAAACTCGTACATTCCTACCAAGTCTTGGTGGTAGTGGCCAGTATGAACATTCAACCCACTTATTTGGTCAAGGAAAGCAGGTGTAATAGAGCGATTCCAGATTCTCAACTCATCTATTTCACCAATAAAATTAGCATCTATATATTTAAGTCCTGTCAAAGGAGCAGTCTGCCAATGACCAATTGCTAATACACCTCCTGGTTGGAGTAGTTCACTTGTTTCAATTTCAAAACTGCACCGAGAGATATTGACGTCAACTTTGTGAGAAAACTCCAGCGACTGCTTGTTGGCATATACTATTATTATGATTTGGTTCCATTCTCCTAAGGTAATAGGTATCTTTGTGTCATATACAATACCACTGTGGTGTATCTTGATGGTGACGTCATTGATAACTGCAAATGTATAGTCCAACCCAAATGAAATTATCGTACCACCTAATGCTACAGGTTTCACCAGGAATTCAATCGTGATATCTGTGTTGAGAAGATTATCATCGAAAGTATACCTTAAAGGTTTTGTCATACCACTTGTACTATCAAAGTACAGTGCATAAACACCCCCATAATGATCACCATGGATCTCATAATAGAGATCAGTGATTCCTTGATATGGACTCTCATTTGCAGGAACTCTCCACCAATCAGCTAAATCAATGTTGATGTCATTCTGGGATGTTGAATTAATTGCCATGATATCATTCATTGGGAATATGTCATCATTCAGGTCATTATTACAATTTCCAAGTAGGCCGATGGAAGTCATACATGTAGTTTTTGGTGCTTCAATACTAATTTGCATGTATTTACCAATGAAACGTAGATGTATTACAATACTCTCAGCTCCTGAACTGTGTATTTCCCATTCATAATCAGTTAAAGTGAGTATGAACCAGCCAGTGTTCTTGATATCTAATCTGATATAAGACAGTAACATTCTCTTCTCATCAATCCAAATTCCAGGTCTGTCATGCAGTGTTACAGGGGCATGGATAACAAGACGAGTTGTTCCAGATATTGTCAGAGCAATGGTATTCAGACATGTTGATGTATAGTAGCAAGTTACTTGACGGATATGGACATGCACACTTGCAAGTCTAATAATGTAAAATTCACCAACAGCTCCCAAGTAGAAACTAATTCCATCAAAGTTTGTGTACCTTGTATAAGTTGATATGGTTGCCACAAAGTATGTACGTTGGATGTATACAAAATAAGGCAGCCTGTATAGAGCTAGAGTACACTCCTTTCCCACCCAATCCAACCCACAGTTTTCACAGTCCTGGCCTGTTCTCCAGTTGATTTCACATGTACAATAGTTCCCCATACACTCTCCGTGATTGTTACAAGGTTGGACAGAACTTCCTGGGCACACAGATGAACAGTTGCTGTCATAAAATCCAGAGTAACAAATACAATCATCCAAATCATCTTTGTATCCAAAGATGCATTCATTTTTGCAATCTGTTCCTCTACGTACATTAGCAGCCTCATTGCAGATGGGTTTAGCCGGCCAATACGTCAGATTTAGAGTCACTTGGCAAACATCAGAAAATGTAAAGGCCACTTCATATGTTAATGTGATGTTCCCTGTTGATGCTACAACTCTCAGACACGCCATGAAGTATGAGGCACTGACAGATTCACCAAGACCAGCACATCTGTCAGACAAAGGCGGCGATTTAATAAGGTTGTTGCAGTGCAAGGTGGCTATAGCTTCCATATCTGTATCATTAAATTCAACATCTATAGTGTCAGGTGTGTCCAAATCAGGTAGATTGAGATCAGAAGGCAGCCATGTTGGCCTGTTCCAAGGCTTTGCTGGTAATAACAGATCATCGTCACTGACCACATTGTTTACTAAATCACCTTCACCTACATCAAATGGCCAGAAATGGTACAAGTTTGGTGTTGTTGCAGGTAGGTACACATACCACATCTCCTCAACTCCTACACTGTCAAAGGTTCTATTCCACACTCTAAATTCATCAATATCACCATGGAAGTTGGGTATTCGAACTTGGGATGTTCCATCAGGCTGAACTTGCCATTGACCAATAGCAAAAGAACCCATCACTCCAAATGTATCAATGTTAATAGCTATTTCCATTCGCTTGATCACACCCATGGCAGTAAAACTGTAAATGTTCAGCTTTCCTTTTCTATCATACACCAGGACTATTTTGTTCCATTTATTATTCTCAATAATCAAACTTGTGCGGTATTCTACATTATCATAGACAACATAGATGATATCGTTGATGACAAGAGTGAATGATTTCACATTGGTGTAGGAAAATACAGCTCCACATCGTCTAAAAGGGTCACTGCATTTCACATACATTTCAATTGTCATATCAAGTGTGAGAGTCAGGTGAAATAATGACGACTGAGGGCTAATTGATGTGTGTTCAAACTTCAAGCAGTATCCTGCAGTGGTTTGTAGGAATGCTTCCTGGACTGGATAGTCAATTACTGAATCACATACATCCACCGCCCAGTGGTTCATGTACAAGGAAACATCTTCTTGTGATGTTGGATTGTCTATGCCACAGGAACTGTTATTGTTTTCTGGAAACTCATAGGGATTTGTATCTAAAGGTGAAGGATGCTGCTCCTGGTAGTCATGGAGACACAGATCTAATGGTACATTATCTGCTTGCATTGAAGAAAGCCCTGTAGCGACTGTAACATTTGAACAACATTCTCCTACAAGAACTCCAACAGATGAGTCACATATTTCACTTGGCATACGTGTGTCAATAGCCAAATAATGTCCGACAATTCGGATAATTATTTTGAAATTACTTGGTCCAGCAAAAAGTAATTCATCATATGAGAGTCTTTCAATAACATATCCCGACAATCCAAATTCCAAACGGTTATCAATGACCATTTCCAAGCCATTTACACATGTCCTGGGATAGCTTCCAATGGTGGATGGTCCACTGAATGTGATGCGGGTGAATCCCACGGAATAGTCTCCAAATCGAATGCCCAAATGTCTAATGCATGAATAGGTTCCATAACATCTAATAAACTTAGCTTGTACTATTAGTCTGTAGTTTAACACTCGCAGTAGGTAGTATTCACCAATAGAATAGTGTAGGAACGTGATGCCACTCATGGTTGTTAGCTGTGACGAACTAAGAATAGTGGAGATCCTGTAACGCATCCTCACATCAATTACAGAGTAGTATATATTTATCATTGAACAGTCATTTCCTAACCAACCAGGTGAACATTCAGTACAGTTTTCATTTCCTTGCCAGTTCGCAGGACAAGCACATATTCCAGTTGCTGAATCACATGCACCAACATTATTACATGGATTGTCCACTCCACCAGGACATACATTATCACACGAATCTCCCCAAAACCCTGGTTCACATATGCATAGTCCTGATTGCATGGTGTCTTGTGTACCAAACAAACATTGTATATCACATTCCTCTCCAATCCATATTGGGAAATCCACATCTTCAAAGGAATTACACAGTGTTTTCGCAGGTGAACTTGGCAACTGGAGAATAATCTGACAATATCCAGAGAAATCCAACACAACTTCTAAGGCAGCTTCAGTACTGTTGGTTGCAATAACGCCACTCACACATTTGTCATTGTACTGATGTATTACACTGTCACCCAATGATTTACAGTCCCTAGAAAAAATAAACCAACAATATTTACATTATGCAAGAATAAAAAACACTTTTTGTAATATAACCTATTATTTTAGGTTTTATATTTAGCTTGATGTTTATATTTTTCGCTAATATGTAGTTTCGCTGATATGTATTGAATATTATAAGTAAAATTTAAAGTTTACATATTTCTATCATGTTATATTGCCCACTTTTTTTGCTCAATATTATTGTTTAATGACCATTAATTTGACAAATAAAATGTGCATTTTCTTTTTGTAATTATGTACACTATGTACAATATTTATTGTACACCATGCTCAAGATTTTAACATGCATAGTGATAACAAATACATGTAAATAGTTTAGACTGTATAGTAAAAATACTTTCCGTAATTGACATGTTCCTTGAATATGGGCTCATATTTTACTTCAGAATCAAGGGGACCACCTGTTCCATGTATGATAACCATTATAATACAACTAGCACAGAAAAAAAATAGAATGTGCAGCTCTGTATAAAGCTGTATCAGCACTTATTTGATTTGTCCTTTATATTTTGTAAACAACATCACCATAGAAACTTTCTGGGATAGTAGATTTCTAACTCTGTGTCACTGTGTCTTGTGTATGGATTGTGTTAAAACACTTACTCATAGACTGGTCCAGTGAAAAATAGTTTATGGCAGTAGTCCACTCCCCAGTGGTCTTTATTATCTACTGGGTCTTGTACAATGATTCTAGTTGGAAGTGGTACAGGTGCATCAGAATACACTTTTTTGGCAGGTGAACGATTGGCTGGTGATGGTCGCAAATACATCGGAATATTAGACACCGAGTCATATAATATATCATCTGGAAAAAAATAAATGTAACAATTTAGACATATTTTCTTGGAAATATGTAAATTTGTACAGATGGTAAACATATTTTTGTTTTTCACCATTGCCAGATTCATATAAAAAACCTAAACATTGGGGGTTGGTTTGGACAGATGTCACTGTAACATGATGTAAATCAAATTAACATTCCCAGTGAAATTACTTAAAACTGTGTGCCAGTCACCAGCGCAGGTAACTTTCAAATGTCATTAACCCTGCAAGAAAGTTACCTGCATTAGCAATTATTGTCACATACTTCTGTCCAAAGAAATACACAAATTCATTTTATTTTGCAATAGTAGATAATGACAACTAGTGTTTCTTTCATAATCACTTCTATGTTTGATTTATTATTAAAATCTCCTAATTCAAATTATTGCATTCTGTTTAAAAACTTTTGTAATAGTCATCAAAACGCAGAACAGCGTTAACATCATCCATTAATAATATTTAGTCAAATTGCATGTTAAAAATTTTAAATTAAGCAGACCATGAAAATATTTGTATTTATTACCATGCATGTGAGTTAATTATTTTACCAACTTGACTGAAAATTTCCTGTCTTGGGCGCACAGATAGGCAGTGATTTCCAACACTGACATTGCCCTGAAGCAATTCATTAGGCTGTTTTCACTTACTATTTCCTTCATTGAATTTCCATATAGCTGTTAGATAGGGAGCACCAGGTTGTATATTAACATTCCAATTCTCTTGGATTTCAAAGTTGTCAAAATATCTGTAAGTGAATTGCAAGGAGTAAAACAAATAAATATCAAATCATTGGTGTAGGTATATACAGGCAGTATGTGCAATGTTTCTTTGAATACTGAATATTGCATGTAAATTGAGTGGCAAAGCACTGCACTGTTTGACTGGATTGTTTAATCCATACAATACTGTGGTAAAAAACCTACATAGTACTAATAAATAAATAAAAAGTAATGCCATGTCAGTCATACAAAAAAACAAAACATTTCTCGCTATATAGTGGCTGTATAGCCTGGACATCCTACTGTATTGACTCATGAGTTATTTTTTATTGCATTTTAATTCTGTCATATAAAAATAAACATTGCAGAATTTAGCCCCTGTCACATCCCACAACATACATATTATATAATAAAATGCAACAAACAAAAATAAATTTCTTGCTATATAGTTGCTGTATAGCCTAGACATCCTACTGTATATTTTTTACCACATTTTAATACTTTCATACAAAAAATAATCACCAAAAATTGCATTTTGGTCACTAAAAAGCTAAATTGACTGTAAAATCGTAAAATATAATTAATAATGGTTTTTGTTTAACATACCTGCTCCAAATTTTAAATTCATCGATGTAACCCTTGAATATACCCAGCGGTTGAAATCCTTTGCCATCTGCAGCTGCTTGCCACTGACCTATATACAGCGATCCACCGGGCAACAGGACATCAACATCAAAAGTTATCATCTGCCGTTTTACAACTCCTACATCATTAAATATATACATATTCAAAACATAACTGTCATGATCCCAAACCAATGATAGTTGGTTCCACACATCTACTTGAAAGATGATATCAGTTGTGTAATTCAAGTCACTGTAATGCACAGTTAATGATCCAAATTCTTGGGTTATGAAGAAAGTACTGCCGCTGCTATAGGAAAAAATTGTCCCACCACAAACTGTTGAGTCACATGTCCTTATGAGCAATTCTATTGTGGTATAACCACCACTAAACAGATGTACTTCATCAACACCAACATACGTATGATTGAGGAAGATGCAATGTCCAGCTCCAGTTTCAAAATTTGGATTGAAACCAGATTCCATATCTTCACGGAACATCCCCGGACTCACAATAGCCATGAGACATTTTTCATCAATGATTTCTTCAGAGTCAGTTTCGTTGATCACAATCGGTGTAGTCACATTATTATTCAGCGTGTATGTGGATCGACGTTTACGGTTAGTCCCACATTGATTGGGGGAAATCACGCCACTGCAGTAGGAGCAGGGACCACAGATGCCAAAGAAAGCAGAGCTACAACAGAACTCAGGTGAAACTTCCATGTCAATCAAGAAATGTTCCTTCAGTGCCATTATGTTCACAGTGAGACCAATCTCTGGCACATTGAACTCGTAATACTTTGATGAATACATAGCTACATGGAGACGACACTGATCTTCTCTATTAATATGCCTACCACCATGGAAGTTGACTGACTCATAGTTTTGGTAAGACTTGGTCTTGTAGTTACCCTTATGATGAATAGTCACAATGTCATCAAACATCATGATACCAATTGCATCAATGCAGAGTGAATCATCGTAACAACTAATCTGGTTGATCTGAAAAACACAATAATGTTCTATATTATTACCATACTTAATAATTTTTTGGGGGGTTTAAAATTGTAACCATTTTCCCAACCGCGAAAAATTATCCACATTACATTTTTCATTCACAGCGCCGGTCTCGGAGAAATATTACATCTTTTTGATTTCCACAACACTTTTTAAAATGGTAGGGTCTGTGGATAAACAGTAGAAGGCAAAACTTAATATTTTCTTTGTGGAATACAATTCAATTCAATTCAATTTCAATTCAATTTCCGCCATGGTGTTTTTCATCATGATTGATCATTCCTTTGACCTAACAGGTCACGTCTTTCGTTTCAAAATGCTGTGTCGTACAGACGAAGTTTTCCGATAATTGACGAAGCTATTTTTTCAACGCAATGCGGAAGTGAATTACCGCAATGTTAAAATGCGATCTGATTTCGACAAAAAAGCTGTTGATTCTCAATGTTCGAAAGGTAAACTGAGGGTGGAGGAAGTATTTAAACAGTATTGCAACATCAGGGTTCATCCTGAGTAAATAACAGAATAGAAAAGGTCCGAACCATGTTCCATACGTTCGCCGGCCATGCACTGTGAAATTAATGCGAGTTTTCTCGTAAAAGCAGGAACCAAACTACCGTACCAATCCAGATTATTATTCAATGAAATACATTTTTTACATGCATATTTGTAATAAATGTCATTGACGCCCGGTAAAAACACCCTGGGCCTATACTCAGGAATGCCCTCAACATGTTAAATGTTTAAAAACAGAGGGTGGGCTTATACTCGGGGAGGGGCTTATGCTCGGGGAAGTATGGTAAAACATGTGTAAAAATGAAATAAAATGAAAGATATTTTTTGATGATTATATTGATGCAGATACTGGTGCCAATTACTTGGTTATCATATTTTTTTAATATTTTTTTTATATTTAAAATCCCTCGCCTTTGTAGAAAAAATACAACCACACCAACAAGAAATGTAAACAATATCATTACCTGTAACTCAATATTTTCTGCTTTGAGTAGCTGTATCACATTTGCACTTCTGAAGTTGAATGCCATACCATCAAAGTTAATAAAAGCACCAGACCGAGCTGAACATACTACCGGATGGATATCAGGTAAACTTGGCAGCAGAATAGAGCAATCTCTACCACTCCAGCCAACTGTACATAAACTACAATATGTTCCTCCCTGCCATTGCTTGTCACATATGCAATCACCGGTGATGTCATCGCAGCTGCCATGCCCATTACATGGATTATGAGGACCTCCTCCTGGGCATACATGGTTACATTCAGATCCCCAGTATCCAGTATGGCATACACACTTAGTATCTTTATAAACACCAAAGTAGCATCTCTGTTGGCAGTGCTCCCCTACATAGATTGGAAAGTGTCTTCCTGGAAAGTCATTGCAGAGACTTTGTGCCGGTGGTGACGGAAGATTTTGTAGTTGTTCACACTGTGATGAAAATGATAGTACTGCATCCATACTTTGATTGAGATTCCCTGACATAGCGATGTTAGTGAGGCAGACATGGAAGTAGTATGTTGATATTACTGTCAAGGTTCCGCAATGAGTTTGCATAGTACCACTAAACATCAATCTCGTACATACATCATGGGCTTCCAACTCAAGAACTGGGTCAGTGAATCGAACCACCAATCTAAAAAGCACATCAATAACTGTTTGTATGGGAGCTGTAGACAAATGCCAGTTTGGTTGTAGATTTACGACTGTTGGAAAATTGAAATCGAGCAATGACACTGGATCATAAGCAATTAATCCAGCTCCAGTATTCAAGTTCCATAGTGAGATAATATTGCGCTCATATCTTGTCACATGTACATGTGAAGACCTTATAATATCAATCAATGGAAAGCGTTTGTCCCAAATAACAACTCTATCAATTTCACCACTGAACTGCCCCATTGGAGGGTTTCCCATACCATCTGGCGGTAGTTGCCATATTCCCAGACCAAATGCACCCCCTGGTACAAACACATGTAATCCAATATAGTAGTATCCATGGAAACACCATCCATCTTCATCCACAACAGAGAACTCCATCATACCTGACGCTACATTATAGACCAGTGAAATTTGAACCCAGATATTTAATTTCACAATTATACTAGTGTCAATAACAACACTGCCAAAGTGGAGACAGTATTTCTGAGCCAAGATAGACACTGAAAAAGTTGACTGGTGAGTATATGATATTAATGTGCCTTCTGCTACATATATTTTGGTGTACAATTGCAGTGTTAGGTGTTTATCTATCAGAACATAATCATGGAACGGCCAAGACACAAGTCCACTATCACTGAAACCAAGGCTGTATCCTCCTCCGATATTTCTGAGATTTGATGGAAATAATGAATCAACAACTGTGATCTTCCAATCTGAGAACAGTTCATGTACAAGCTTCAGATTGATGTCATAATGAGTAGAAAACTCCACCAATCCAGTATATTTCATCCGACACTTGATATCATCAGGTGGACAGACATCATTTTTTATTGTACAAGGACCACAGATTCCATCGTATACATCTCTGCAACCCGATGTTCTGATATCAAAGTCAACATTGAAATAAATCCCACCAAGAAATAACTTCAGAAGAAAACCACTTGGTCCAAGAACTTCATAAATCTGTAAAGATCTTCTAATTAATCTGAAGTCAGGTGTTAATGTTGTCTCTTTCCCAGGGTATATTCTCTGATCACCAAACCAGACAGTGGGTTCATAATCGTCCTCTTCTGATGCATCTAGAATTAGCACTGTGCTCTCAAATGATATCCCAACAGATACTGTACACACTTCTTGGTTGTCGCAAGCTGTTTGCAGTAGATTAATCTGGACTCCATCAGATGCTCCTTTATAAAATAGATATTCTCCTTTGTTTTTGAAAGTTATACTCCCTCCATCAAAGAGTGTGTAGAATCCACCTTTGGAGGTGTAGCAATGTTTAATAGTGTCTGTAGGTGTTATAGGTGTGACAGCTAAAGAACAATCTGATCCTCTCCAGTTATCAGTACATGCTGTACACTGCAGGTTTCCTTTCCAATTGTCTTCACATTCACATTGACCAGAATCTGGTTGACACACTCCATGGTTGTTGCATGGATTACCAGCCCCACCCACACACACTGAATTGCACTGAGAATCCCAATATCCAACATGGCAAGAACAAATACCGGTCAGTACTGTACTGCCTGAGGGAAAATAGCACTCATCATCACAGGTATTACCAAACCATATTGGAAATACTACACCAGAGAATGCATTGCAAAGGTCTTTTGCTGGCCATGAGGGAGGCTGTAACACTAAGTAACAGTAATCAGCCAATGAAATGCTCACTGCCAATGAGCCATAGGCGTTATTAGACCAACCCATGTCATGGATGCATGCCTTGAAATGGAAATCAATCAAGCCACCACTAAGATCACTACATGTGGTTGACATTGAAGAATCTCTCACAATCTGTGTACAGTGATCTGTAATTAAAACCTCAATTGCGCTGTCAACAAACGTATACGTATATTTCACTAATACAAGTTCTATTGATGAATATGCGAACCTCCATTTTGGGATGTTGTAATTCCAAACATGATTGAAGAATCTGAGATGGATGTGGCCAACTAAATTGTAGATAACATCACCTTGTCCTTCATTGAATTTCCATAAACATAGTAGGTCAGGTGTTTCTGGCATGATGTTGAAATGCCAACTGTGTTCTATTTCAATAGAGGAAAGTGCTCTCCTCCATATTCGGACTTCATCTATCTCTCCTATGAATGGAACGTGGGTCAGAACTTGAATTCTTTCACCGGATGCTGGCTGATTGGTTCCAAAACTAAGTGTGCCGCCATTTGAGAATATCACCTTATTGGTGGGTATAGTATCATAATGCATTGTTCCATCAGCACTAATGATGTAGACAAATAATAGCCGGACAGCTCTCTTCCATACAACTGCAACATGGTTCCATGCATCTTTCTCAAATGAAAGTGTTGTGTTTATGATGCTTTCACCTATTTGCACTCTGATATATGTTTCACTTATTATAGAGAACGATGTGACGGATGCATGTGAAAACACTACCCCATCTTGTACAAGTTGAACCAGGAATTCAACAGTCACATCATCAGACTCGCTGAATATGTCAGTTAAAAGATCTGAGACCAAATGACTGTCACTGATCATCAAACTATAACCTGCACCTGTAGTATATGGAGTCTCACCATAGTCACTGTCGATAAAGATTGGTCCAAACAAACTGTTGTTTACATGCACAGTCCAAATGCCAGTGCTGATTGCAAGTCCTACATCTGTGATGTCATTGGTCACGTTACCATCACATGATCCACATATACCATCTATGTCAGAACACAAAGATTGTTTCACTTTAGATGTAACACTAAAGTATCGATCAGCAACACGAATACGCAACTGGATGTCATCGGCGGTATCTTGTAGTAAGTATTCATTGGTGGACACATGGTTGAAAACAAAACTGTTCATTCGTACTGTGTTTTCAGTATAGTCTATGTTATTGTTATTCCACCAAAGCAGAGATTTGCTGTTTGTGGTATAGCCAGCTCTAACAACAACATCTTCACCATTATATCTGAGTGCTACTGCTGTTATACACGATGAGTCAAGATAACAAGGAAGAATTCTGATTTGTAATGTCATTGACTCTGATCTAATCAGGCTGTATTCCCCAATTTCTTTGAAGTCGAATCTAGCATTATCAAAGATGTTGAAATGTCCTTGCCCGAACATGCTACACACATAGATTTCTCCTGTTCCTCCAGTGTCAGTATTGGTTGTACACAAGTCTCCTGTCCATCCTGGAGCACAGACTGTACAGTTGAAATCAACATCCCAGCCTACATCACATTCACAATGCCCAGTCTCATCAGTACACACTCCATGGCCATTACATGTATTGATCGTCCCACCAGGGCATATCTTAGTGCACGACTCACCCCAGTATCCATGATTACAATCACAAACATTGTTTTCAAGATCAGGTGATCCAAATACGCAATGGATTCCACAACCAGGGCCGGTGGCATTCATTTTACACGGGTCTTCTGGCGAGAATGGTAGTTGTAGCACAGCCTCACAGTAAGTAGAATATGCTTGTACAGACAAAGTATATGAAAACATTGACTGAGAATATGCAATGTCCATAACACAGGCGTCGTAATAATACTCTGCTAGAGCATTTCCAAGTGTAGCACATTCATCATGTATTTTGCTTTCAAGAATTGCGGTTCTACATTGTGCAGCTGGGCTTTTGGTAAATTCACTGAAGAGTAAAGAAATGAACCTATAATCATGTCTCGGTCCATTATCAACAGGTGAATTGGATAGATACCACCAAGCACCTTTATTCCTTGGTATGGTTATATAATGGTTATATACTTCATCTTTGACGCTGTTCCCTTGCCCTTCTGAGAACTTCCACAGTCCACTCAATCCTGTCATCCCAGGCTGTACATTCATTCTATAGTTTTGTCTGACAGTGTTATAGTCAAATGAAGTCCTCCAGATTCGTAGTTCATCAATCTCACCAGTAAATGTTGTTTTGGGAGTATTTCCCCCTTTGTGACCAGGTGGCCATATTCCTAGTGCTATAATGCCCCCGGGATTAAATAATCCGGTTGTTAGTTTGTAGGAATAACCACTAATCTCTCCAAATTCATTGAATACATAAAGTGTACACGTGCCAGTCAATCTGAAGTAAACAAATGATATGTGTACCCACTGCTTGGTTGATAGTACAATTCCAGTATCAATATCTTTTGAATTATAATGCAGTCTCAGTGTTCCATCATTTGTGATTGCAAAGAGATGAATGTTTACATATGATAATAAGGTTCCACCATATAAATTAGGATCTTCACTACGGACTAGTAATTCAATGCTGACATCATCATCAAGATCAAAAGTGTGTACTAATGACTGGCTTTCACAATGACTATTGCTAAAATGTAAGCAGTAACCACCAGCGCTGATATCTCTATCTTCTCTGTATTCACCATGACTGAGTCTAAATTTGGTCTGTGCTGTGTTAGAAAGTTTGCAATAATCCGCAAATTCATTATTGATTATGTCAAATGTGAGGTCGCTATGTAGTATGTAAATAGATGAAGACGTCTGAAAGTCATTATCAATGTTGCCATCACAGCTTCCACAAAGTGTACCGTCAGATGCTTCACAATGGTCTTTATGTAGTACAATTTGAAGGTCGAGGAATCTACCACTGATGGTGATAGTGATGTTACTGATATCTCCTTGTGAGAAGGTATACTGTTTAGGACCAATTCGTTCTAACGTAGCATCTCCAACTACAATATACTGATCAAACAATACTTCCTCTTCATCCAATGATATCACTTCACGTCCAGTGTCATCATATGGTCCATGGATACTAACATCAGCCTCCCTAACATGAATCCAAACCTGGTTGATACATGTGCGTCCTGCCGAGCATGGAACTTGACGAACAAACACAGACAGAGGTATGGATTGAACTAAGATGAACTCGCCTGCAGCTATCATATCATAGGTGGCGCCATCTGACGTGATGTAATGAGAGTAGCTGAAAACTGAACACACAGCATAATGTGTGCTCTGTGAAATATCAACTTTCGCTGACACACATTCCTCTCCGAACCAATCTGGCGCACACACAGAACAATCAGCTGTATACTTTGCTGGACAGTCACAAGTACCAATGTCTGAATCGCAGACTCCATGGTCATGGCAAGGTGAGAAAGCACCAGCCGGACATTCACTACTGCATGTATCATCCCAGAAACCTGGATAGCACATACAATGTGCTGAATTATGTGGAGAAGATGTTCCTGATATGCAGGGAATGTTACAGTTTTCACCAATCCAGAGGGGAAAATGCCTACCTTCAAAATAGTTGCAAAATGGCTGTGCTGGCCAGTATGAGAGTTGTAAAATGGCTTTGCAATAATCAGCATAACCCAGAATTAGATCCATTGCTCTATTTAATTTATTATTGTTGATGACATCCTTCAGGCAAGACAAGTAGAAATAATTAGACATGCCAAGGGTAGAGCAATCACGTTGTAGTATGTTACTATATATGAGGTCATAGCATGTATGCTCTGCAGCAATTACAAAATCATCAGACGAACTAGATGCCATATACTGTGCTAATACCGAGTATGACAAAGAACGCCTCACAACTGCTGATGAGTAAACCCATTCGGGGTTATTCCATGGATCTGGAGGCATTTTCAGATTCGCTGTGGAGGCTGAATCCTGAATCACTAATCCACTTCCTTCATTGAATCGCCACAGGCTAGCAAGGCCTTTAGTATTGTAATCTATAAACAAACCCCAGTGGTTTTGTAAATCTGTAAGGCCGAATCTTTGTTTCCATATAATGAATTCGTCCATCCATCCAACAAACCCAGGATATGGAGGATCAGAGAAGGTATGAAGATGGGAGTTCCATTTTCCAATTGTTAGAATTCCACCTGGTGGAAGAATAGTTCCAACGTTGGCAAAGTCTACACGATCACTTTGCAGGACTTCAAAATCATAGATGTAAATCTGTAAGAGCTTTGTGCTGGCTTGCCACACTAATGACACCTGGTACCAAACTTCATCAACTACTGTGAGTAACACTTCTTGGTTTAATTCATCATCATAACTTACAATCAGGTAATCTCGACAGCAAGTGAGAGAAAACGTGCCAACTAATGTGTATGAGAACAACGTGCCACACTGTATATGATCAGGGCTCAATTTGAATTGGAACTCAAATGTAACATCACCATCAGAGAAAGTGAACAGCTCATCTGAATACAAATGAGAATCTCTGAAAAATAATGCATATCCAGCTTCAGAGCCAGTATTGTTTCTCTCTTCGTCAAATAATCCATAGTTGTAAACAAAGAGACTACTTTTAGAGTTGACAAACCAAGATGGTCCATAGATATTATGTACAGTTTCTTGGCTGAGTGTGCCAGTTATGTTTGCTGTAAGCTCCAGTCCCTCACTAGTGATGAAGTCATTCCAAGGATTTCCGTCACAGGAGCTTAACAGACCATGTGATCCACTACATTTTGAAGTGTCAACTGACAAATCACAAGCAATGTATCTTCCATGGATGAACACATCTAGGTTAATGTAGTCACTTGACAACTTGTAATGATCGATAGCAACTCTTGAGAGGTAGTATCCAGATCCCAAGTGTTCTGTCTGTGGCAGGGAAGACTTAACAGCATCAATCCACACGACACCTCCTAAATCATCATCAGTATACCCACCATGGATTGTCATAGTCTTAGCACCAATCTTGAAGGCTATAGCATTAAAACAACTTCCTTGCCCATCGGCATTGCACTGTACCATTCGTATCTGTATCTCTAGTTCACCATTAGCAAATAGGAGGTATTCTCCACGGCCATAAAATATGAAACTGGCTCCATCAAATGTTGTGAAATGACCAAGCCCAAACGTTTTTCCAAGATAAGAACCACCAACTGCATTCAGTAAGCTAGGGATCCCTATAGAGCAATCTGCCCCAATCCAGCCATCTGCACAGTCTGAACAGTCACTAAAAGGTAGGTAGTTGACATCACATGTGCAATTGCCATCAATTGAGTCACATTTCCCGCGACCAAAGCAAGGATTACTAGCCCCACCAATACATTCATTCTCACATGCAGGTCCCCAGTATCCATGGTAGCACTCACAGTAGCCAGGATCAGTTTCGTTATTAAATTCCTAAAAAATGTTTTCAATTCCAAGTTAGCTTCTATAGATTGATTAATCAATTATATATCAGACTGAGAGATAATAAATGAAATATGCTGGTTTCCTTCAGCCTAAGAATGGCTAGTAAGAAACCTATCTGTCACTGAAAATATGATTGAGAGATTCAAGGCAATGATGTACAATTGTTTAGACTTGATCAAACAGTAACATAACATACTCTTTATATTAGGATCTAGCATAATACAAATTTATGTGACAACATGAAATATTTCAACATTGACGACTGCCGAAGGGATAACAGAAGCCCAGACTGTTATAACTGAACAATGCAATCTGATTAACTGGTCTTACCTGATTGTCCTCCCACTCATTACCAGTGCATTCTACCCCACTGTTGTATTTTATTGATGTTCTATACACTTGATTGGATAATGTATATGCGATATTCCAGGTGTACTCAGTCTCCTCATCTGGTATACTAAGTATATAAACAATATGATTATTGACATACCATACAAATAGCATTTTAAAATTGAAAACAAATTATAATTCTGAGATTCAATTAAGTTGTGGCCACTGATTAGTTCCAATAAAACCGATGTAGTGATTATGTTCATCAAAACATCATGATCCTATGATTTTTCTCTTAAAATTAGGATAAAGGGTAAATTTATTATCTATAATTATCATCATAGTCAACATATTACACTTCATTTCTAATGTATAAAACCACATTGAAATCAAAATCATGTTTTGAGAGACAAAAATTATAACACTAAATAATTTTAGTTGCAGGCAGGCAAAGGCTCATGGGTGGATGCTTGTTTGTAAACAATGACACACTATGGCCACCTGATGCATATGTAGGTGATAACTCCCCCGGGATATTATTAAATTGGAAAATTAATTACTATCTGTAGCAGTTAAACTAATTGTCACAACTAAAAGTCACAACTAAACGAAAAGTCTACAAGTGTCCAAAACAATGGACATTAATTTCCAAGTGCTTAAAATAATGGTCACTACTTTGAAGTGCTCCAAACAACAGTCCCCAGTTGACAAGTCATTGTTAATGACACGTCCCCGTTCCGTTCATATTTGAGTGACATATACATTCAAAGATCATGACCGAAATCTCAGACCACTTTCAGTGTTCTGATCCGAAATGCACCTGCATATGTACAACACATTGTACTAAATCTGAACAAAATCCATCCATGCATGACTGAGATCCTGTTCCGGAATTGTGAAAATACGTGATTTTGATGCGATCCGAAAAAAAATGACGTGCATCAAGGTCCTATTATGTTTAATGTATGTACCAAATTTGAACAAAATCCGTCCATGCATAACTGAGTTCTGGGTCTGGAATGATGAAAATGTACGATTTCAATGCATTTTCGGCCTTAAAGCGGCCGCCATTTGGCTATCGTTTATGAGATCATGAAACAAATGCACATACATTATTGTGACATGATGTACCTTGTGTGTGTGAAGTTTGAAATCGATCAATCCAGGCATGTCTCAGATACGGATCCAGAACTGAATTCTTTAAAACAAAATGGCCGCCAGTCGACCATTTCAAACCCGACCCCCCCCCCCAAAAATGATGTGTATCAAGGTCCTATTATATTTAATGTATGTACCAAATTTAAACAAAATCCGTCCATGCATAACTGAGATCCGGGTCCATAATGGTGAAAATATGCGATTTTGATGCATTTTCAGCCTTAAAATGGCCGCTATTCGGCTATCGTACATCGGATCACGAAATAAATGCATGTGCATATGTCCCATATAATGTGTGATGTATGAGTGAAGTTTGAACTTAAGCGGCCCATGCATGAGATACAGGTGATCACGGACGCACGGACACACGGACGCACACAGGGAAAACATAAGTAAAAAGTGGCTGAAATAATGGGCAATAGAATATAAGTGCCCAAATAGTGCCAATATATTTTAAGTGGCCAACACTATATAAATCTCAAAATAATGTCTAATATTATTTTAGCACAACACAATAATGGCCAAGTTTTTTGAACACCAAAAAAAATGCCCAAAATAATGCTTAAAGTAATGGTCACTTGTTTAAGTGTCCAAAATAATGGATAATAATTTTTAACAGTCCAAAATAATAACTAATAGAATACATGTATGAGTGCCCAAAATAACGGGTAATATTTTTTTAAGCATCCAAAACAATGGTCCATATTTTTAATCACCCAAAACAATGGTCAATTGTTTTTAATCACCCAAAACAATGGTCGTTAGTTTTTAATCACCCAAAACTATGGTCAATAGTTTAATCACCCAAAACAATGGTCAATAGTTTTTAATCACCCAAAACAATGGTCAATTGTTTTTAATCACCCAAAGCATTGGTCAATAGTTTTTAATCACCCAAAACTATGGTCAATATTTTTTAATCACCCAAAACAATGGTCAATTGTTTTTAATCACCCAAAGCAATGGTCAATAGTTTTATCACCCAAAACAATGGTCAATAGTTTTTAATCACCCAAAACAATGGTCAATAGTTTTTAATCACCCAAAACAATGGTCAATAGTTTTATCACCCAAAACAATGGTCAATAGTTTTTAATCACCCAAAACAATGGTCAATAGTTTTTAATCACCCAAAACTATGGTCAATAGTTGCCCGGAATAATGGTCAATTACATCTAAGTAATGGAAATAATGGTAAATAGTTTTTTAAGTGTTCAAAATAATGGCCAATAGTTTATAAGTGCCCAAAATAATGAAGAATATTATTTTAAGTGCCAAAATGGCCACTATTGTGTGAGTGATCATCATGTTAGCCAATAGTTTTTAAGTGTCCAAAATGATTTGCAATTAAGTGTGCATACATACATAATGAAAAACACGCTCCTCATCTGTCCTGGTTTAAACTTGGTAGGCTGACCCATATTCTCATAGGCTATGCTGCTACCATGTTCATTGTTGATTTCAAATCTATTATCAGCACCAATGGGAATGTACACATTATGCTGGTTATTATTATCATATCCAAGCCATGCGACATAACCATCACCATCATCACTGACTGACACACACTGTAGTACTGGTATCACAGATTCCTTGCCTCCTTGCCCATCTGAGGGATCTCTGTACCTACCCTGGTTAGCTTCACATCGAATATCACAATGGCCACGACCAACAAAACCTAAAACAAGATTGATTGAAAGTTTGAGCTGAATTAAAAATTCAAATTGATTATGATGAAAAAATATTACCTAGTTATTTGAAAGGCAATTTGTTGTTGGAAAACGTTTAAGAATGATAGAATTCATGTTATCTAATTTGAAAATTGTCTGATAATCATAGAATTAACTGTATGTTAGTTGTAAGTATTCACATAAATGTTATAGAAGAAACAAAAAAACAAGACAGTACTATAATACCATGAATGAAAATATTTGTATTACCAAAGTGAATGGGCAAACCAGATTTAATAACAGTTATTATTATACATCTGTCACCGTAATGCCATAAGTTACAGCGTGCAATAATTTTGTGGTATTTTACGGGTTATTTCATCCTACCATATAAGGACATGTGAATTCCAATTATGGAATGATTACGCGTGTAAGCGTCCTCTAATAATAAAAACGAACATGGCTGCCACCAGAGTTTGACCGGCCTTCACACAAAGAAGTTCGCTGATTTTGGCATTCCATGATGTCTCCTTGTAAGGGAAAGATGTATACTAATAAGATTATTACGAGAATACTTCAAAGTATGCACTCAGACAGTACGCCGCGCATCAACCTCTGCTGACCGTTGGTCGATACTGTACTGTCTTTGTGCATACTTTGAAATATTCTTGTAATAACCTCATATTATACATAACAATAGGGAATACAAATATCACACGATTGGCATGACCTATTCAAACTAATCAATAACAAATTTAGATTGAACCTTTGATTATAACATGACAGCTTTCCCCCACACAGAATTTGATCAGATTGAGACAAGCATTCATGATTCAGGAAACGCTGGAATCAAGTTATTTCCAAAGCATATTTACGTACTTGCACCACATCCCTTACAGTCCGGTAATCCCCAACCTTCAATGCACTCGTTACAACTAGCACCAGTCCAGAATCCACTGGTTTCATCAGCATAACATTCACACAGATCACCTCCAGTCTCAGTAGCATATCCATGTAGGCAAAACACACCACAGTCAGTGTTCCATCCTATGTATCCATCAATGCAATGTTCACAATGGGTCCCATCATACCGAGGTAGACACAGCTCACATGCATTCCCATCAAATCCATGCTGACAGTTACACTGTGGAGTGTTACTAATCAGTTCACAGGATCCTGTATTATGTATATAATAATCAAGTATTTAAAATATGCAAAGCAAAAAAGTTCATAAACTGTCATTTGTATGAAGAGGAAAGCTGTTTGAACACCATAATATTTGTCTTCTTAAATGTGAGTACTGAAAATAAAGTTAGTTAATCTATGCGCATGGGGACAAAGCCCCCCTCTGCCAAAAATAAATAGGATATTTGTGCGTGATATTCTGTTCAAATACGGCAACTACCTGCAGGCTCATTCAAAGTTACATGAGCAAATAACTGTGGTGTGAATAACAATATGAATTAAATTAATTTGTACAAAAATTTCCAGTTATAGATACCATAATTCTATGACTCAAATATGGCCTTGAAAAAAAAATATTTCCGGTCGAATTGATTCCAAAAGTATTGCATCGAGGCAATTTTTTTCCCCCTAAAATATCAGAAGGGGTCTTCCACGACTACGACCTCCCTTTATTACATAAAGTTACCGGTCCCCACCACATAGTATGCATTAAGATTTGAAGGTATATTAGCCTTATGTACCAAACTTAATGTATTTATTCGATATTCATTATTGTTCATATTATAACCAGTATGTCGTCATCGCAAAAGAAATAAGCCCATCGACATATTTGGGGAAATGCTAATTATTTGAATAATACTTTTGCGTGTAAATAGGGAAAATTATCAGCATGGGGATAGTATGAACCAGTGCATACTATTATTATAGTCAATTTGTTATGACCAATTTTGCAGGTTAAAATCTACTAAAAGCCTCCACAGATATACCAAACTCAATGAACAGAACTAGTACAGGAGTTTGCACTTTTAGTGAGGGAGTCAGCACCAGCTAAAATGACATACATTTCCCATTTTAGGGTTTGACAGCCCTAAATGCTGAATATCTATCTGCAGATACAAGACATACTGTATATTACCTCTATCATTGCATTGTGGTGTACCGGGACATACCATTACAGAACAATCATCTTCATCAAACCCAGGATTACATATACATATAGATGATCCACTTCGTCTTACACAAGTACCACGTTCTGAACAGTCCGGATCACCTGGACAGTCTAGATAATGACAACTGTCACCTTTATAACCAGTTTCACAGACACAGGAATTATTTATGCAGCTACCATGATTGGAACACTGGGTATCACAGCTCATACCAGAGTAACAGGGATCACATACACAAATGCCACTATTGGGAGGTGACTGTTCTCCATGAATACATGGTATATGACATTTCTCACCCATGTAGCCATCATCACAGATACACATTGGAGGCTCATATGTTCCATTACAGAAACCTAAAAAATAACAAAATAATTTTTTATGATAGGCTGTATATTTTAGTGCTGGACATTAGATGTTTTTTTTCTCAAGTGCAAACCATACATGAAATGCATTATAAACATATTTCAGATATGACAAGGCTGAGTGACGATACTCCCACCGTAATATCATTAGTGGGATGCAACTAACACCAGTTGAGCATAACATAACTGCAGATCGACCATACAAGGTTCCCTGAAAGTTGCATCATCTCATTAGTTTATATAATTTATATTTCTATATGTGTGTAATTTCCTATTAATGCCAAATGCTTTCAAAACTGCCAGGAAAAAATGTTTCAACATAATTTTGAGAGGCGATATAATTAGCTGATATAAACAATATATTAGATAATGGATATTACCTCTATCACTACAATCAGGTGTTCCAGGACAATCTGGTGTATTGCAATCATTCCCTTTCCATCCAGAATAGCAATAGCACTCTTGATCATTGACATTACAGAAACCGTGCTTTGAACAGCTTTCACCAACTCCTGGACAACCACGAACAGTACATGTATCACCTGAGTGTAAAATATGAATGACACTGACTCAGGGAAAGGAAAAGACATGAATTCTATTTACCTTGCCATTTTTAATGTTGGTTATAGTCATTTGTTAAAGTATCACACAATAATGATGTATGCGCAATGCAGTGACATAAAAATAAAGTAGTGCCTTGAGAAATACTTACCCCACCATGACACGTCACAGTCACATGTCTGGTTACTGTTAGTGTTGTCAATGCAGCTACCATGGTTATTACATTCTTGATTACATCCTGCACCACCATAGCATGGGTGACATAAGCAAGTGAAATCTGGCTGTGCTGTTCCATTGACACATGGTAATTCACATGCAGCACCTATCCATCCATCATCACAATTGGTACAGGTTGGTGGATCATAGCTTCTGTCACATGTACCCCTTGCATTACAGTCTGGTTCACCAGGACAATCTGGTATATGACATCCACTGCCAACCCATCCAGTGTTGCAAATACACTGATGACCTGCTGGGTTGCAATAACCATGTCCAG